TTTTTTTTTTTCTATGCTCTGTTTTTCGATTCCCTTTCTTTTTTTATATAGAACCGAGAGGGAGAGGTGAGAGTTAGATGAAGTGCTGGGGAAAAATATGATGACAAGAATGAAATGAAGGAGAACTTCTTCTCTGCTTTGAATTGATCGGGAGAGAGCAGATTTGCTGCGAGTGTTTCTCTTTGAGCGGGGTGAGAGAAAACGACAGCAACTGCGGGATATCTCTCTTTTCTTTTTACGAGTAGGGCACGTAAATCTCATATATATGTAGATGTAGGCTAGCTTAGGGTTTTTGATTCCTTTTCTTCCAAGTTACACTCACACACACGCACAAGGGTAGGGGCGGACCGGGTACGGGCTTTAAGGGCGCGAGTGCGGGTTCGAGGCTCACGGGCCGACTTCTCGGTTCAACAATAATAAATAATCGAGGCCCGACACGAACATTTGATAAATAAAATAAAAACGGGATATAAATATATATATATATAATACACACAAATAATATTTATTAATAATAAACATTTAATTACATAATCACATATAGGCAATTTAGATATTTAATTTAAATAATAATAATAAACATTTAAACATTTAAAAGAAATTAGATATTTAATGACATTTAGACAAATAATAATACTAATAATAATAATAAAAGCAGTAATAATTTAAATAATTCCCATATTTATTCAAAATCAAACGGGGCATTACAGTCTACCCACCTTACAAAGAATTCCGTCCGCGGAATTCGAAAATGAAACATCTAGAAAGCAATAAAGATACAAAGGAGAACTCAGAACATAAAGTTAGGATATCTCCTCCTAAGCTCGGCCTCCTTCTCCCAAGTCGCCTCGAACTCATCATGTCGGCTCCAACGCACCTTCACAAGACTCACTGCCCGGTTCCTCAGCTGATGGACCTTCTGGTCCAAAATGGCCACCAGTACCTCCTCGTAGGTAAGGTCTTACTCGACATGCAGTTCGCCGAAGTCCACCACGTGATCGGGATCATGCACGTATCTCCGCAGCATCGAGGCATGAAACACGTCGTGCACTCCCGATAAAGCCGGTGGTAAAGCCAGCCGATAGGCTAAGTCCCCGACTCGAGCAAGGATCACAAATGGCTCGATATAGCGAGGTCGAAGTTTTCCCTTCTTCCCAAAGCGAGTCACACCCCTCATGGGCGAGACCTTCAGGAAGACATGATCACCAAACGCATACTCGTGCTCCTGCCGCTTCCGTCGGCATAGACTTTCTGCCTCTCTTGGGCAGACCAGATATGCTTCCGGATAGCCTCAACTGTCTCCGAAGCCATATTTATGAACTCCAGACCCATAATCTTCCTCTCCCCAACCTCATCCCAATACAATGGTGTTCGGACCTTCCGTCCGCACAAAGCCTCGAACGGGGCCATCTTGATCGAGGAGTGATAGCTATTGTTGTAAGTCAGCTCGACCAAAGGCAAGGCACTCTCCCATGTCAGGATCCGGTCCAACACCACAGCCCTCAATATATCCTCCAAGTACTGTAACGTCCGCTCCGACTGACCATCTGCCTCGGGGTGAAAGGCGGTGCTGAACTCCAACCTTGTCCCCATGGCTCGGTGCAGAGTCTTCCAGAACTGACCCGTGAACTTCGGGTCCCGATCAGACACAATCTCCACGGGCAACCCGTGAAGTTTGACAATCTAGTCCACGAACAACTCAGCATGCTGACTAGCCTTCATAGTCGTCCGGACGGGCAAAAGTTGGACAGACTTTGTGAGTCGATCCACAATCACCCAAATAGAATTGTACCCGGTCCTCAACCTCGGCCAACCAACCAAGAAGTCCATGGAGACGCACTCCCATTTCCACATAGGAACCTCAAGCGGCTGCAACAGCCCTCTCGGTTTCTGGTGCTCAGCCTTCACTTGCTGACACACCAGGCATCCATTCACGAACCTCGCTACCTGCCTCTTCATGCCTCGCCACCAGAAAGCTTTCCTCAAATCCTGGTACATCTTTGTGCTGCAGGATGGATGGTGTATGGAGCACTATGGGCCTCTCTCAAAATCTCCTTCCACAGTTCCCACACCTTCAGAATACATAGTCTACCCTCAAAGACCAACGCTCCATCAAATGCGACCGCGAAGCCTCCAATTTGACTGGAAGATGCCAAATCCCTCATTCGGCACAGAAAAGGATCATTCGGTTGCTCGGCGACTATCCTATCACGAAGAGTCGGTCCCACGACCAAAGTGGTCAACATACCACCGACCATCGAAGTCGACTCCACTACCATTAGGTGTAGTCGCTTGAACTCCCGAAGAAGGACATCTTGCCCGGTGAATAGGCAAGACAGCTAGCCATAACTTCTCCGACTAAGGGCATCGGCTACCAATTTAGCTTTTCAAGGATGGTAGCTAATGGTGCAGCCGTAACACTTGACCAGCTCCAACCACCTACGCTGCCGCATATTCAGCTCCTTCTGAGTGAAGATGTACTTTAGGCTCTTGTGGTCAGTAAATATCTCACACTTGCCTCCATAGAGGTAATACCGCCAAATCTTCAAGGTGTAAACGACTGCAGCTAACTCGAGATCATGAGTGGGGTAGTTCTGCTCGTGAGGCTTCAGCTGCCTCGAAGCATAGGCTACAACCCTCCCTTGCTGCATAAGGACACATCCCAAGCCTATCTTCGAAGCATCACGGTAGATAGTGAACTCCAGAGTGGGATCGGGTATCGATAGGACGGGCGCGGTAGTGAGTCTCCTCTTCAACTCCTGGAAACTCTCCTCACACTTAGGACTCCAATTGAACGTCACGGCCTTCTTTGTAAGGTTGGTTAGTGGCTGGGCTATCTTCGAGAAGACCTCAATAAACCTCATTTAGTATCATGCTAACCCCAGGAAACTACGAACATCAGTGGCACTTCTTGGCGTATCCCACTTGCTCACCGTCTCGATCTTGTTGCGATCCACCTCAATGCCTCAAGCTGTCACAATGTGGCCAAAGAATACCATACTATCTAGCCAGATATCGCACTTCGAGAACTTAGAATACAACTTCTCGCGGTGAAGAGACTCCAGCACAATCCTTAGATGCTCCTTGTGCTGGTCGATGTCTCGAGAGTAAACAAGGATGTTTTCGATGAACACGATAATAAACTGGTCCAAGAAAGGATTAAAGACCCGATTCATAAGGTCCATAAATACGGCTGGGGAATTGTTAAGTCCGAACGACATTACCACAAACTCGTAGTGGCCATAACGGGTACGAAAGGCAGTCTTAGATATATCCGACTCCCGGATCTTCAGCTGATGATAGCCAGACCGCAAATCGATCTTCGAGAAGACGCTGGCTCCACTCAGCTGGTCGAAAAGATCCTCAATGCGAGGAATAGGGTACATGTTCTTGATTGTAAGGGTATTCAACTCCCGATATTGAAGACACATGTGCATCGATCCGTCCTTCTTATTCACGAATAGGACGGGCGCTCTCCACAGTGAAACACTCAGCCTAGTAAAACCGAGATTAAGCAATTCTTGGATTTGGGGCTTGAGCTCTTGAAGGTCCTTCGGCGCCATTCGGTAAGGGGCCTTAGACACGGGACCAGCTCCCGGTACTAAGTCAATGGTGAATTCAACCTGGCGGTCGAGCGGCCCTCCGAGCAGTTCATCGGAAAAAACATCAAGATACTCGTAGACGATAGAGACTCTCTTCGGGGACCTCTAAGAATCATCCTCGGATACCATAGACACGAGATAGCCTTGACAGCTACCCTTGGGAAGGCTCTTCCTAGCATGCATAGAAGAGATGACTCGAGGCACAATCCTCGACTTCACTCCATAAAACACGATAGGATGATCAGAATCGGGAAAGAGTGTGACTTCGCACTCCTGGCACCGGATGTCGGCTCAATAGAGAGTGAGCCAGTCCATGCCCAAGATCACATCGAAGTCTCGCATTTCAATCTCATAGGTGTCGGCCTCCATAACTGGCCTACTAATACTGACTAGAAGACCAGAAATTATAGAATTGGAGATAATAATTTTTCCCGAGGCTAAGCTAACCTCGAGAGGATCACAGCTGCACACATTACTAAGGGATAGGGCCTCCAAGCATTGAGAAGAGATAAAGGAATGAGTAGCTCCAGTGTCACATAACGCAAAGACAGGCACATTGGATAAGGAAATCATGCCAGAGATGGTACCTGCATTTTTGGTCGTCTAGTCATGAGCGATGGTATAGACTCGGGCCTGACCCCTAGTCCTCTGCTGGTGTGGGAGCTGCTTGGGTTGCTGCTGCTGGTGTCGGGCTTCGGGGCATGAGCTGATGAAATGACCGGGGCGGAGCAGTTGAAACAGACTCGCTGAGTGTATCGTCATTGCCCAGGGTGGGGTAGGCCACAGTTCGCACAGTTCGGAAGCTGACCCTGGGCGGCAGGTGGGACGTCGCTGCGGTCTGGGGCTCTACGCTTTCCCTTCCGGTTATCCTGAAGGGAATCAAACTTTCTCT